CTGTATATACATATTATATACTGAACTGAAAGACTGCATGCGTTGCAAACTAGTAGCAGTATTTCAGAGAGAGTTATATAATATGAGAAAGTCACAACTCTCAGTCATATATACAGAGAGTAAATTATTACAGTAAGTATATATATATTGTATAAAAGTAACACTTTTTAATAATACTCAGTCTCTGATATTATGAAAATAGAGTCTCTCTGTGAGATCTGTTTTTATCAGAAGTCAGAGAATCTTATATTTCTCAAGATTATTTTCACATATCTTGTCTGTGAAATTAATGAGAAGAATTATTAATTTCAGTGTTTTATTCTTGATATTATTTAAGTGATAGCAGAGTTCACTCTGATCACACTTTTTAAGTGTATATTTTCTAAATATTCACATTTATACTGATATATACTGATTATTTATTAAATAATATTAAGATAATAACTTATTACAGCTGTGTTACTCTCACTATTAGACTGACCATGTGACCGTGTCTGAGACCAGGACCAGATTTTTTGATAGTTTCATTACCAATTCGACTGATCCCATTACACGGTTTTAACATTAGATAGTAGTCTCATACTGTCTCAGTGAGACTTACTGTCTACTCTTGTCATATTTTTCAAATGAGATCATGATTTTCACTTCTCAATTTAAATTATTTTTATTGCTTTAAATGACTTTAAATCTCATTTGAGCATTATCAAAAAGTGTTACTTTTTAAAAAATTAAAAATAGTCTAAAAAAAACCTTAAAATGTCTAAAAATAGTAACTTTATGCCAAGAATGTGACTAAATGGGATCAAATGAGACCATCTTCTCATTTTTTTCAAGTCATGGTTTCATTTTAAGATCTGATATATAGTCACTTTACATGTTTTTTTGATAGCCAGTTCCAGCAGGATTCACGTCAAGAAATGTATGAGACCAGATCAAATGAGATCAAATGTGAAATTCATGATCTCAGCAGCCAGTCTACTCACTATAAGAAATACACAGTTGATAATAAATATTATAAAGACTTTGAGAAGTGAGTATTTTAAGAGTATTATAACTCTGCAATCTTGATTTTTTTATTTTTATTTTTTATTTTTTTCTTTTTCTTTTCTTTTTTTTTTTCTTTCTCTTTTTATTTTTTTTCTTTCTCTCTTTTTTTTTTATTGTGATTTTTTTTTGTTTTTATTTTATTTTTTATTTTTTATTTTTATTTTTTTTATATTGTATATTTTTTTCATAATTAAAATTATATGAATTATAATCTGTGTTTAGAAAGATAATAATATTTAGTAATACTCTCTATTGAATTTTCAACAAATAAGTATATGTTATAATATCATGTAAGTGAGAAGTGATTTTATAATCTCATTTAATATTATTCTCAATAATAAAATCAGAATAAAAATGTAACTAAGAATTTAAATATATTCTTTATTTAAAACTAGATTTTTATTTGAAAAGTGAATCTGAGACTTTTAATATTTAAAATAATGTGATTTGAAATCAATGTAATAAATATAAATCATGATCAGAAGTAATACTTTTAGACAATATAATAACTGTAAAGTTTGATTCTGATTTCAGACACAGTTACAGGGTCAGTCTATATACACTGACTTCTTATATATAGTACACTAAATTAATTAGTGGCCGCTATGACTCCTTTACATTCGTAAGCAAGTTCGGAAGCGGCCGTGTTATTATCCGGCGGTCATCCGTTCTTCCGAATCACATGAAATTGATAAATGTATAATAATTAGTCTTACAGATACTAGAAAAAACCTGAGAACTACAAGTTTTCAGATAGATATTATAGTCTCAGACTGTATACATCTATAATGAAATAATAATAATAATAATAATTCTTAGAGAGTTCTGTAAGTGATCTAGTAATATCTGAGAAGTTTTTTATAAATTATCAATAGAAGTTAGTAAATTCAATGAAACTTTATACATCTTTCACAGTGTGTGAAGCTTCTCATTTAAGAATAGCAGAGATTTTCTCAGAATTCATTCAGATTCTCTTATCAGCTTCTATGATAAAATCTAGATATTTTATACTCTGAACTTTAAAATTACACTTATCTATATTTATCAGTAATTCTGCTTTCTATAATTATTGTAATACTTTTTATACATGTTCTTGATATTCTTTTCTGAACTCATCAGTAAAGATGAGAATGTCATTGAGATAAGTAGATATAAACTCATTAAGAAAATCTCAGAGTGTTCAGTTAATATACTTCTGAAACATACTGAGAGTGTTAATTAATTTAAAAGATATAACTACTTATTCAAAGAAGTTATATTATATTCAGAATACTCTAAGTCACTTATCTTTTAAAGTAATATAAATCTTATAAAAAGTAGTAATAATATTGAACTTTATAAATCATTAAGCTTGTCTGATATATTCTAGAGTTTCATTGATAAGAGATAAAGAATAACAGTCTTTCTTCATTAATCTATTCAGTTCTTAATAGTTGATACAGAATTAAAGTTCTTCATCTGATTTCTTTGTAAAGAGAATAGAAGCTGCAGTGAAAGAGTTACTCACATATATAAATTCTTTATTCAATAGATCATTGAGAATAAAACTAAATAAAATCAAATGAGATTACTTTCTTATTTTTTCTAAGTCATGGTCTTATTTTGAGATCTGATACATAGTGACTTTGCATGTTTTTTTAATAATTAGTCTCAGCGGGATTCACGTCAATAAATGTATACAATCAGATAAAATGAAATTAAATGTAAAATTCATAGTCTCAGTGATCAGTCTACACACTTCTTATTAACATTAATCAGCCGCTTCTTCAGAGGTGATTTCAGAGACTTAAAAGTCTATTCAGACAGTGAAGACTCTTACTTGTGTATAGATATTCAAGTCTACTCAATTCATAACATCTGTGTTATTCTTTGACACAGATGTATGAGTGACTTAGATGTAATATCTTCTGCTATTATTCTGTATACTTTTAAACTTAATAAGACAGTCATTCAATGTTCAGAGTTGTATACAGAAGCCTTTATAAGTCAGAGCTTTATTAACACTTATAAGAGCTTATAATAGTTTAAAAGTCAGTGCATTCTCAAGCATGCTAATCTTCATTTAATTCTCTCAAGATTGACTGTCTGCTTCTAAAATTTTAGTGTTGAAGTCAGAGATAAATGTTATAAGAGAAGTATTTCTCTGTTAGATACTCTGTAATCAATCTAATATCTTCTGCTGCATAGTATAGCAGTGTCTTTAAACTGAATATCAAGATATTTAATAATGTTATCAGAAGTATATAATATTAATTCATATGTCTTTATTCATGAATAAAACTTCTGTTTTATACAATGTTTCAATCAATCATTGATATATTAATCTTGATTACTTAATAAATCAATGATATCTTCATCTACACTTAGTTTCATAAGTATATTCAATCTTCATAACAGGCAGAGAGTGAGATTATAAGTATTAAAATATATAGAAGTATCTAGACATTTCTTTAATATTTACACTATCTCTGATTTAGTTAGTGTTGAAATTATCTATACAGAAGTTTCGTATTAAGTTAATTATTGAATTTCTTTGTATTAATATTATTAATTTACATATATATCAGCTATTTATTATTGTTATAATTTCAATATTACTCAGAGTCACTGCAGCACTGTCTCTATACTTGTATTTAAAAATTCACTTATATTATCAGTAGATATAGCTATATCATTTCTTGAATATATAGTATCTGCATCTGAGAGTTCTTTAGAAGAAGTGTATTTATATAAATATCTCATATATTTAAGATGTTAGAACTCTCAGATCTTTCACTGATATTTTCTTTTTAAGATTTTATTCTCTTCATGAGATCTTGTTACAAAGCTAAAGTAACTGATAAGTAAGCTTCTATCTATCTAGCAGAGATTCAGTGTCTGCTTAACTAGTCTGTAATAATTTATTTTCTTATTATTACACATTATTACACATTCAGATATCTTCTCAATAAGTAATTATTTCTAATGAGAAGATGATAAATATTTTTCAAGTATAAGAGATCTATACTGAATAGATCAGTATTAAGATATAGATCTTATATAATAAAAGTGAAAAATGTTAGAGAAGAAAAAAGAGAGAAAGTGCAGAAATCAGTGATCAGAGCATATATTTATACATGTACAAGATAAGCTTCAGAGTAGCAGAATAGAAACTCTGTGAGTTTCTCAGTCAAGAATTAGTGACTGAGAATCAGAGCTTTCAGGCTGAGAATCAGCGCTCAAGAATCAGAGCTTTCAGCAGAAATCTATGAAGTATAATGAAATAATCCTATTAATCGGGCGTAGCCCGCTACATAGAAGAAGATAAATATTATAAAGAAGAGAATAAAGTAAGAAATAACTTATCAGATAGTAAAGTAGTAAAAAGCTATAAATAAGACTATAAGAACTGCTTAATACCAGATTAAAAAGAAGCTTAGAGATGTAAGAAAGACTCAAGAGTAAAAAGAGAAGAAAGAATAAGCTACTGTATAACAGTAATTACAGTTAAATAAGAAAAGAATTAAAGAATTTAAAAATCATCTTTCTAATCAGAAAAGTAAATTCTTAATTTTATAAAGAGTGATTAAATTATATTATCAGAGCTCTATCAGAATATTTATGTATTCACTGTTAAAGAAATCTGATAATAATATAATCTTTACTAATTTAATAACTACTTACTTACTAAATCTGTCTTCACTCAAGATTTCATATTCTGAGTGAGTTATTAAGTTAAATAAATATCTATAGAATTAGCTATATATTTTTATATGTAATTTTCTATATATATTTTCATCATATAATATATCACCTTAAAATCTAATTGTATTGTTGAGATATTGTTGAAAATATTTCATCATAGTGATGGCGAAATGGCGGGTGTTGGGTGTAAGCGGGCGTTGAGTGGTTGATCACGTTAATTCATGTGTGTTTATGCCTTTACACTGAAAAGACCTTCAAAATACTCATTTGACACATTTGTCACTATAGACTGCTGAGTAAGTGTCAGATCTTCAACTATGTGCCTGCAATGTCTAAAGTTTTCTTCGTCCGAGACGCCTTTAGTGGTTAATACAGATTTACCCTGCGAGATGGGAATGACAAGACGTTTGCAACATATGATGATATATACAAGAAAAAAGGGCGGGTTTGTCGTATTCTATATGTATACTATGTGGAGTATTATATTTGTTTTGAGTTTCCTAGACAGCAGGTATGAATTCTCTCATGAATTACCCGTCACGCAATATATGTTTTACTCTACTAATATATATAAACGCTCGCACGACGCTTGCTCCTTCAATGCACGGGGAGACGAATAAGGTATCAATATGTGCTAAGCATCATTTTCTGTATTCTTCTTCTCAGCCCACCAACCCTTCCAATTATATCGAATAACTTCATTCCCGCATGCCCACCATCCAGCAGTTAAATTGCGAGCAAAAACCTCCAGACCAGAGTATCTGCCAGTAAGGTGCCGTTCCTCATCATTGGATGTCCCGTTGCACGATTGCGCTGGCGACGAGAAGAATATATTTTCAATCAACTCCTTTAAGTTTGGTTTCCGGGAGTGAATGTCGGCAACTGCGACGATAACCCTGCGTCTTATTTCACAAAAATTAGTGTGCCTTTCGCCGTTGTTGTCCTCGGCGACGTGCTTCTCTCTGTGTGCCAAAATTAGCACTTCGTATGGCCTTCTCCATAGTCCATCCAGTGGCCATGCAGGCTGGCCGTCAGTGGTGGTTTTGACCCAGACCCATTCTTCAAAGGGGTGTAGGCCTGCCGCATCAAGGGCATTTAACGTAGCGAAACGAGATTTTAACGAATTCGTAATCCAGATTGCGACAAGGGCTTGCTGTGGATGAAGATGATTTCGTAGGGTTCCCTCGATTATTGGTTGAAGAGGCCCGGCGTGTTCTTTGTAATGCGAGGAGCGGCGGACTGAGCGGTTCGGCCACGGCGGGTCCATGAGAATGAAGTTGAATTTTGTATCTGACGAGAGCGCAGGAATGGGACCAGGGTGAGATTTCGTTGGTGGAGTAAGATGACAATTGATAAATGTAGATTCCGGAGGAATGTTGACAGTTATATATTCTGGAGGAAAAGATCCGTTACCAGTAGTAGTGCATGGCTGCTGTTCAGATTTGATATTCAGCACGGTCCGGACACGCGTGGGGTTTTGGACAATTATGCCTTGGATTTCATCTAAACCTGGAACTTGATTGATGCCAGGCGAAAGTATGAGAGGAGGTTCATTGAGAGCAGAATAACAACAGCTCTGAGAAGGTACCTTATTTGTAGAGATAAAAGTTGGCTCTTCTAGGTTCACGCTTGGACTTCCCGCATCTGGATCACTCCTCTTACGCTTTGGAGGATGTTCTTCCTGGTCAAGTTCTGCAACGCCTTCGTTTCTTTCGTGGAGATCGCTATCACCTTGCTGTACAACGTGGTTAGACAAACGCGTATGTCTGGGGAGACACCAATTAGCGTGATGGCGCTCCCGAATTTCCTGAAGGGCGTTGCTTATAATTGGCACAATTTCTGAATGAAACCGTTGTTGAGAACTTGGTATTTGAGCTAAAATACGATTGCGAGACTTTTCCGATTTTGGTTCTGGTGGTTTGGGATATGGATGTTGCAAAGGGTCGCAGGAGAGTAAGATAGGTCCACCATCTTTGAACGTGCTAGGCTCCAATTTGTTGCTGTTATGTTCTGCGAGTCTCTGCGCGACAACAATGGAAGTAGGAATATCGATCAAGGTCACTGTCCTAGAGGTATTTTGGTACAGAATTGATGACGTGCAGCCCTGTAGCTCCGACATGGCTTCGAATTGCAGTCCCTGATAGTTAGATTGACGCCGAGCTCTCGCAAACCATCAGCGGGGACCCTCTTTGGTCAATCAGCAACGGACCAGCTAACCAGCCAGGAGATGGTTCCTGCCCCAATTCCTCCACAGCCTAACTCTGAACTTTCCTGTTGAACGTAATCATAAGTGGCAGGGCTGAGGGTGATGTATTGCCGAAATACCTCCACAGGCAGGCAGGAGATGAGGCTCAAATTAAGCGCGTTTAAACGCCGGCTAGCCGCGCTCTCGGGACTTGACATTCAGGTTCTTGGGAATTGCCAGACGATCACTAGTGAATGAGCTAGAGAGACCCCTGCAGCCAATCCCAGAATGATATAAGCGCGCCCTCGCTAGTGGTAACGAAAAATTTGTTGGGGGTCCCGGGTTGATCGACCCTTCTACCAGCAGTGCGCTGGTGGTGACTGAGCTCTTTTGCCCCAGTAGCCTACAGGTTATGAGACTGTTAAGCGTGAGCCCCGCTGTGGTCAACATGCATGGGTTCAATCCCAGGATGGACTTAAGAATATAAATCCCAAACAAATACCCCGGACATTAAACAGTGCCAAGAGACATTCTAGGAGTGTGCCCTAGGAGTGAGCCCTTGAAAGAATGAGCCCTAGGAGTGAGTTCACTGAGAGAAGCCACTGAGAGGAGTACTGTACTCTGTGGTAGCTGGTCCGAGCCTACAAAATTCAAAATAATTTTGCAAATTTAGCGCTGGCGCGCGGCAAAATCCTACCTACAACACCCCCCGCCAAAGGGCAAAAACTAAGAGTACTAAGTTATTGAGTATTTTCGGACCTTAAACACGCATATACCATGCCACGATGGAGAGGAAAATTAAATATGAGGTGAACTGTCTCCTCCCTCTTTAACATTGACTTAGGGCCTTGTTAGAAAATATGGAATGGGAACTATAGTTTGTGCGACGAAACGAAATGGATGACACCAAAGGGAAAAGTGAAGAACGAGCTCATATATTTCCATGCACCTAAGCTCTATCTATCTAGCCATGTATATGGCGGGACTAGGATGGGTAGACTAAATAAGCTAGAGGCTCATATTATAGTAAGCTGTTAATAAATGGTAGTATTTCTCTATTTCTTCGCCTCGACCAGCTTCACATGTTTCTTCTACTTGCACGAAGATCCGACTTGCATGATCTAAAATCTCATAGCTTTCAGGAGATCTAGTAAAACACAAACCGGGTAAATGTTTATGGCGTGCACCGTCCCGTAAAACGTGGATAGAGACAGCATTCGCGAACGGTATAGCGCGCGCACATCCATGCTAAGAATCGCTCAAGCCCAATGCCATAACCACCGTGAGGTGAGGTTCCATATCTAGTTTAGGAAGGGTAAAAAGTTAGCACGAGGGGTTGAAAGGAAGCTCAGTCAACGATTGGAAAAAACTTCTAAGGAAAAAAAAAAAAAAGAAAAAAAGAAAAAAGGCCATGCACAGAGGAGCAGCTGTAGGCAACAAGGGTTTTACAAATAGCAAAACGCTACAACTTACTTTCGCTGGTCGGTGTACCAATAATATGGCGACGGATCCATCCCTTCCCGTTTATACGCCGCCATCAGCTCATCCCAGTCCTCCATCCTCATACTACCCCCCACAATCTCGCCAACACCTGGCATAAGTACGTCCACACTCTCTGTAACGCGTAAATCTTCAGGGTCCTTTTTCATGTAAAACGCCTTAATCTCTACGGGGAAATGAGTAAGGAAGATTGGCACGTTCAACATGTCTGTCATTTTCCGCTCTGCAGCTTCAGCAATATCATCGCCAAATGTATGTGGTTTCCCTTGTTCGTTTAGGATCTCGTGCTCACGCAGCCACTCGATTGCTTCGGCGTATTTCATTCGCCTGAATGGGCGTGATGGTGGTATGAAGTTCGGGTTGAGCTCCTTGACATATCGCGCAATCAATGGCTCTGAAAGAACGGTGTCAATAACACGGCAGATCATATCCTCTAGATGATCAAGCAAGTCGGTGAAGCTGATGAAGTCGAGTTCCGCTTCAACATGAGTGTACTCGGATAAATGGCGGCGGGTGAGAGATTTCTCTGCACGGAAGGATGGACAGACGCAGAATACATCACCAAGGGATGGAAGACAGGTTTCGAGATACAATTGGGAGGATTGGGTCAGGTAGGCCTTTTCACCATAGTAGTCGAATTCAAATAAGGTGCTTCCTCCCTCGACTTGAGTTTGCACCATCGATGGGGGCGTGACTTCTAGCATACCCTTTTCCTCGAACACTTTTCGGAAAGCTCGAAGGGTCGCAGCACGAACCTTGATGATAGAGGATGAAGTCTCCCCTCGAAGCACAAGGTGTCTGTTGTCATAGAGAGTGTGGGGATCCGAGTCGGGAGCAACACGCGTAGTAATAGCCTCCTTGTCACCAGCAGCACGACCAATTATGGTGAAGAAGTCCGCATGGAGTTCGCGATCATCATACGCATGGTTCTTGGGCGGTACTGCTCGCATTTCTCCATGGATTGCAATCGATGTTTCTAGGGTCAGAGTCATCATGTCGTAGGTCTTGACCAGATCACCTGAGAAAATACATTGTAGTAGTCCATACCCATCTGACAGCGTCACAAACATCATATCCTTTTGCGATCTTAGGCGATGGACCCGTCCGACTACACGAACGCGGGTGCCAGGGGTATCATCGCCGTCACTCGGTCTCAGCTTGATCTTGGCGGGGTCCGTCTCGTTCAATCTTATCTTGAGTGGCTTGGGTAGCGACTCATCTTCCTTGATGACCACCTTCTTAGCCTCTTCGAGGACTAATTTCCGCTTTTCTAACTCTTCTTTCTCGCGAATAGCTAGCTCCTTCTCCTTTGCAGCTTTCTTCTTTCGTTGTTCGTAGAGGTTGGTGGCCTTTTTCAGCGCGGACTTGGTCGCGGGCTTCCATTCCAATCGCACAGAAGGGTCTTCACCTTCATTGATAGGACGTGTTACCGATTTGCGCGTCAGATAATGAATATCTGGCGTTGAAGGCGGCTGTTGGAGGAAAGCATAGACTAGAGTCTTGTAAGGGGAAGACTCAGTTCCGGTTGCGGTCTGGTCATCATTGCCAACATCTTCGTCGATATGTACGAGAACTGCGGTGGAGGCTGCCATGGCTGTATGGCGCCTCTGGGTATCAAAATAACCTAGAAGATAAGTTGCGCGAAAAATTATTGCTGTTTGTCAGTTAAATGTGCGCTGGTGAGTGTTCTGTCATTACCTTCGCTTTTTTTTTTGAGGCGGGGAGCAAAAGTCATGTGAGTCATAACCCTAATTGCCCCTCCACGCTGGATGCCATATCTAAAGTGGGAAACAGTCCTATCAGGTACGAAAATATCTTAACGGGGATAACTACAATGAATACGATGTTATCATTTATATTTCCAATCATGATTATATGTGCGATAAGAATGTACAGTGATGAGCCCAAATGTACGCTCTGACATTGCATTTAACCCTCGAATAGCTTCTACAGCAACGGGGCGATGGTAAGGTACCGTAGTTGTGGGGAAGCCCAAGAAGAAGAAAAAAAATTCAGTGTTAAAATTGGCCATTGACAATATCGTTGAATGACATGGGCTAGTCCTGCTAGCAGGATGTACAAAGCTTCAATTGACAATATGGCTACGCTCAAAGTACGATGAGGGGCGGGCGATATGGGTTCGGAACGACGCATCAGTTTAGACCCAACAACCTAGTTCATGAAGTATATGGTGACTCTGAAATTAGTTTCTCAGGAGCGTACAGTATCAGGCAGCCTCAGGGCAAAATATGTATCAGGAGAAATGTCATGTGCAAAGGTCGAAGGAAAAGAGTGATGCAGTGGGGAACAGAGCATAGGAAGGGGGTTGCTCTAGACCTGAACCAATGTTTCGGAGGTGTCCTATTCAAGTATACACACCGTGTGTACGGATACTTAATGTAGGGTTAAAATTGGGAATCATCTCCACCCCAGCCCTGAAAAGACGGGTTAAGCAAAGAAACAGCAAAATAGATATGACAGTCACACTACAGTCCGTAGTTTGGTACTTTTTTCTCCGACTCACCATGCTTATTCGGTAACTTAATGAACGAGGCTCAGCAAGATTGTTCAGTTTCAGTCCAGCATCCAGCGGTTAACATGCATCCTTCATTCCCTCCCACATGCAGAGGGCCTAGAAATACCATTATGCATATGGAATAAGCTTGGTAGAACAGGCATTAGATGTAGGAGCACGCTGACTTTAGCCGCATTTTGTTCCACACAATTGTTTGGCTTCTATGAGAAAAAACTAGTCCATCAGACAGTGGGAGGGAGGGCAAGAAAGGAATGTGGAGGAATGGATGATGGGCGCGTCAGAACAAGCTCGGCTTCGTGAAATGAGGTTTAGCACAGAGAGACATTATGGGTTAGGAAGTGAATCGCCATTAAAATGGGAGTGGATGGCCGGGTAATCGGGGCTGAAGACAGGCGAGCCAGTGCGAAAGGAGAAAAGGCCAACAGAAGAAAAAAGAAAATAACAGAGCAGCTCTAAACTAAACGCGACTGACGCAAAATCTCATCGACAACCTGGCCACAAGCTGAACAATGAGCAACGCCTTGACGGGGGTTCGTGTTTGAGGCCCCCCTGCTCTTTTAAATTTGGGCAAATAGGGAGAGTAATGAAGTGCCTCTCTCGCCCGATATGCCATATTATGGTTCATGGCTGGGCCCGCGCGCCCCATGCCGACAATAACAAACAGTTTGCTAGTACCCGGATAGGTCAGAGGAATTGGCAGATCCTTGAGATAGACTCGCATCAAAAGAGGTTCCAGGAGCCTGAGTTGGGCGGGTATTTGGGTGTTGTTCAAATCACAAGGAATGGTCGAATTGTATCATGCGCCTATGGGGGAGGGAAATAAAAAAAAAAAAAAAAAACCCTGAAACATTCGGACGGGCGTACGATGAGTCCTTCGTGCCGTGACATCTGTCCCATGCCGCAAAATCGCCCACCACTCAGAGACCTGGATTGATCGATCAGTTACAGCGTAAAGCAGAATCCAACTATGGTGCGCTAGGCGGGGATTTGTGGTCGCTGTGCCGCAAAGTATGGCATATCTGCGCCGTCTAATAATCTCGGCGAGAGGTGGACTCTACATACTCATTGGAGAGAGTCCTTGCAACATGCCGCTAAAGGAAATCATTAAAGAGAAAAGATTAATCATGGCATCCAGTTGAACGTGGTTGGAGAAAAGTTGAACATGGTTAGAAAATCAACCCAGATCATGTCTAGAACCAAGACCCTATCCAAAATACACATGCACTAATAGACTGATTACTTCACACAACACAATACTGATATATTTAAAAAAGATGAAATTGTTTTTCAGTTGAGTATTCTAGAGAGTAACTCCACTCCTCTATAATTCTTATCTTTAATATAACTGTATGTGTTGAGTATTTGGTGTTTTGAGACCGGAGAAGCTATTGTGTGTATGTATTTTAGATGCGGTTGACATGGAGTGACATGAGTAGAGTTTTTGATTTTCCTTTTCTAACCATGCTCAGCTTTTCTCTAACCAGGTTCAACTAGAACCCGGATTAATCACAAACACCGAAGGGCTCGTTCAGGCGAGTTGTCACGTAGTCAAAGCCTTAGAGGGTGATGAGGTGGGCCAATGTAAATAGGTCGAGCCAACGATAACTAGTGGACATGCACGATCTTCGTTCTAGCGGAATGCCAGCGCTTGCTCAAGAAGAGCGGTCAGGATTGGCTGACAGGCGCGTTGGTGGATCTCCTAATTTTGAAGATTTGCTAATTTACGGGCGGAATTCTAAGATGCCGAAGATACTAGCATTGCAGGATCCTGCCAAATCCAATTCTGTGCATTGGGCTTCCAAGAGGTGCTTGCCTCGTTTTCGATTTTGTTGGCAGCTGAACCCGGAATTACCATGGTTGCACTGCCACCTGGTCGGCTATTTTTTGATATACAGAGTATCTTGTGACCAAACACGCATCAGCTTTGCAGAAAAGATCTCCAAGGTCGAGGAGCGTTAAACATGCAAAAAAAAGAATAAACCATCCATCTGCAAGCTGCAAGCTGCCAGAAACACTGCGGCATCATGGTCTGGGATAAGGAAAAGTGGACTCTTGAAGACCAACCACAATTCGAAGGCCAGGGTGTACGTTGTGCCTCGCGGCTCGAGGCCTGCATTCCCCGGCCGACAATCCTCAAGCACAAGTGGATTTTCCCAGCCCATCACCCAAGCGAGGTCTGGAAGGGAATGAAGAACGCCGCAGTAAATGAAATACCGCAATCCGGGCGCTAAAATATTGACATGGCATTCGATTTGGGGACATACATTGGTCTGATAATTGTCAGGGTCCATTTGCATTTCTATACGAAACAGCACGCGAAAAAGAAAAGTGGTAGAAAAGTTAGTAACTAAAGGAACCGAAAGCAAATGAAGGCCTCTGCAAAGAGGGTCGCGGCACGGTTTTGACTTGTTGGGCTTCCTGCATATTAAAGTTGATCCACTAGCACTCAGCGCAGGGGTTTGGCAGCTTTGATACGGGACTGACTGACCAGCCTGGCAAGGAGGGCCAGCATTGGCAACGATGCTAACAAAATTCCAGCAAGGTGTCAGCAAAAGTGCTCAAATGAGAACACATAGGTTGGCTTTCGAAGCATATTGGAAGTGTCCGTGAGACATGCGCTTGTTGATTTACAGACTGGACAGACTTGGAGCCCCTGCAACATGGACAGCCAACAAATGGCAAAAGCCACCCTCCGGCGCGCGGCTACACCTTGAAGTGTAACAGTAGCTTATCGAATCACTGGAACCCCCAACTTCATCCTCAAACTTCATAATATGGACCCTTGTTGCGAGGAGGTGTCTTCCCTCAAGGATAGGCCGGAAGTCGGTTGAAATAACGTTACTTGTTCAGTAGAAACAAATACGCGGCTCTTTTGCAAAATAAACGAAACAAACGAGAAGAACAAAGAAACACAAAATACACTGTAATAGCCCTCCACCAGTAAGGAAAATGAAAGCTCAAAAAAGGGGTGAAACGATCAACTCAAAAGTCGAAATATTCAGAAAAATATGCAACTGGGACTGGAGCTTTTGGCTGCTACCAAGCCAGCAGGTCCGAATTCAATCACGTGACCAATAATTACTGCGGGTCGCTTGTTGTTAAACATTGGATGGATTTTGAGGCAAGGCTAGCATTGGACGGCGGGGAAAAGGTGAAAATCTTGGGTTCACTCGTGAGGTCCTTTTTGATGTGCACGAGCTATCCAAATCAAATCTTCAGGGGGCATCTCGTTGTCTGCTATCTTCCGCCCTTAGATGCACGGAGGATATGAACAAAAACGGGGGGCCCAGGGCTCTCGTTTTGCAACATAACTGACGATGTTGTGATAGGAGGCGTAGCTTCCTGCTACTTCATACTTAACTCCTGACAGGTGAAATATAGCCTCTTGGGAGTGAAAAGCCCCCCCTGCAAGAGAGCAGCACCAGGGGCGAAACACGGTTTTTGGATTGACCATTCTTTTTCTTCGGCAAGGTCACATACTCCAGATGCGCCGCAAGCACTTCTCATTATGCGAGTTTTGATCGCAATTGACTGATGCTCGAAGCCCAACTCTTTATTTCACCTATCCTAGAAATTCTAGGTCTATTTCTCTGGTTGGTCACCCTTGAATCACAAGCCGGATAGCCCCCGCTCAGACTCGCTGTTCATTTGATACCGCATGCGCTCCATCCATGCGTGGCCCCGGCATGGACAATCATCCAAGCTAAAGTTGCGCGTCTATCTCTCCACAAAAAGACGAACGAAAGCTCCACCTAAAGCCCGCCGGCCCTCTTGTCACCATACCGCTGCTGACTAACAATGTGATGATGAAGGGCCGTTCTCTGCTACGCTTTTCCGAGGGGGTTCGTCTGAAAGTTTAAGAACTGGCAGATCACCGCTCGTTTAACTTTCTTTTAAACCAGTTCAAAGGCCGGCCCTGGGGAGTGGGGAAGGGGGTTGTTTTGTCTTTGGCTAGTAATTTTTGGAGGAGTATGCAAAAATGACTACCCACAACTTGCAAAAAGGATTCCCCGTTTCCTAGGGTGCTCGCTTTTGGTTAAACCCGAGTTTGTTCGGGGATTTGGGTTTCCGTCTGCCGCCGGAGGAGTTCTTCTGGTTTATTTCCCTTAAAACCGAGACTAATTCAGTGACTCCCGTTCCGCTGAACGTCTTCAGCAGGGATTATTGAAGAACGAAATGCGTGAACCGAATTACACCTGTCCAGAAGAGTTGGACAAGCAAGTCTTGATCTGCACTACGGCGTAAATACCCCGTAATTCCTTTGACTTGCTTTTAAAAACCGAAGGATGCTGAAGAATTTTTGAGTTGAAAAACGTGAGAAAATAGACGCTCAATTACTCAATGCCATGAGCTAGTATTCTCGTATTTCTTCGTTTTACCTGTTCTCCACACCATATGCTATTTTGATGCTATTGTCGATACTCAAACTAACTTATTTTTAGTTTATTCTTCTCATCACAGCCCCATTCTTCTTTGCTTCCTAGTCTTATTATTCTTTGGGGCCCCAAATGATTCAAGAAATTTCTGCATTATCCTCTTTCAGTAAGTAGATTAGGAAAAATGGAGCCTCCTTGCTGTCTCCTACCTTTTATTTATTTTTCCATTGCATGTCAGAAGAGTTTCAGAATATACACAGATGTAGGGGCGCCTGTAACACTCTCGTCCATCGGATTAGATAAGAGTTCAACCGCGTCTTGCTTCTCTGAAATATAATGATCCTAACGACGCCATGCCTGCATTTTTACCATGGAAGAAGATACTCAAGAAACTAAACCAAGTACCTGAGCTGCTATGTTTCTGGTGGCATGGGTTTTTGTAATTTTGGCACCAGCCACGGCAAGCTAATTATTATGGTTAAACATGCTGATGATCGATGTCGCAGAAAGGAGGGAGCTTCTCTTGGCATTTCTTGCATGGCGGGGGGGGCGTGGGCTCATTCAAGTGTACGTAGCTAAGTGACTCTGCGATATCTGTACCGTACCAAGATAGATATAAAAACTAGTTAATTACACTCAGAGTCGGTAGCTGGAATTGTAAAGCTGCGCGCCCTTGAATAAACACGGTAGGATGAGTGACAACGAGAAAAATGAAACTCCTCATGACTCCTTGGATAGCCACTGTGGCATATTTATAGCATCAGATACGATGGGGCTGGCTGCATCTGCCAGTTAGAGATGCGCAATAATCCATGACACTCCACTCGTTACATATGTACATGTACGTGGTCATTGGTTTCATCCCGGAATGGCCCGCAAAGTTGGAGATAGTTTGAAGCTCATTCCACCCATGAAATAAGTGAAATCATGCAATGCCGCGGCCTCCATTTCTGACAACTACAGCGTAGAGTACACGACCATGGCGAGGAGAAAATACTGCAAAGGATATCAAAAAGTGGGACGCAGCAGCGGCATCAAGCCGATTGAAATCGTCTTCCTGCTTCCTTCCCTGTTAGACTAATCTTAGCTTCGGAGACTTTTTAAACGTCCTTTGAACCAGCCTTTTTTCCTTTTCTTTCGTCTTTTTGTTTGCTCCACCCTGATTCTCCGAAGTATGAATTTATTGCCACCAAAATTGATCAAAGATTTCCTTTCGAAACAAATATGGATAGGTAATACGTCGTTCTATGAAAATGCTGTCGAAAAAAGGTGCACAACAAACAACAAATCAATGATTCTGCTCTCTGGAACCCCAAATTTGGATGAGATTGGTTGCAATTCTGACCAACAGGGAATTTCCCTGCCAAGGGAAGGGGGACTTGCTTCTAGAAGCATGGCCCTTGTTGACACACCCGGTGGTGTGCTTGGTTCCTCCGCAAAGTGAGGTCGCGATGGAGGCTACGATGATAGTATGATACCAGTCTCACTTTAGCCTCAAAGGTCCCCGTTTGAAATAATACCTTTGGAAGGATTCAGGCCAAGCCATCTGTTGGGGGCCAACACTGACAATGCATCGCTTCCTAACTGGCCTTGAACCCAAATATTAAGTATTAGCACATTGGTGCTGTATGTTGTTTTTGTTGTTGTTGTTGTTGTTGTTGTTGTTGTTGTTGTTGTTGTTGTTGTTGTTTAGTGGGATGGACAAGTTCCTTTGACAAGTCAACACAAGCTTGGGAGATTTCTGAGCTGCAACATCACTTCATAACTGATAGCACAAAATATTGAGCTCATTTCAGTAATAAGCCTCCCGGAGAGGGTTGCATCCATGGGTCTATGACGAAATATGAGTAAGATATTGCAGTAGTGTGCGAGCTATGCCCAGTCCCCTCCTGCCAAAGGCCACGCCTATGAACCAATAATGAGAGTGATATACTCCGTAGAGGCAGAAACGACGCCTCCACAAGATGTCTCTAGCGATCGTTGAGACCAATTCCACCTTCCCATCCTTCCTTCCCACAGTGGAATTGCAGTCAGCATACTCTGTACAGAGTAATGGCCAAGAACCGCTGAGGAGCAGTTGCGGTGCACGCGGGAAGATAAGGTAGTTACCGCATGCCTACCCAACTCCGGACTCCGGATAGGATAAGCTGCAAGGGGTGGACCTTGGGATGCCACCAAGTTCTTTTATTTAGCCTTCATCTTCGTCCCGTGCTTAACGGGGGGCCACTGATGGACTGAGTGGAGCTTAACTTGAAAACAAGACGGAATTCATGATTTCGCCCACAAGCTCTCCATCCATCCCATCGAACTTTTGCTTCTTCCATAAAAGTACACTTAACACTTTGAAGTGCAACCTCGTAGCCCAATAAAATGGGCTAAATCATCAGTGAATGAGCCGCCGGTTCTTTCCCCGCCTGTTCCCCTATCAATAAGGTCTTTTACTTCCAATGCCAGCGGATATTAGACGAAATGACCGCTCTGCACCTTGAAGATGGGGGCCAATCCACGCGCGCCGTCATGGGTTAAGTCCGTGATCGCGGTTTTTTCGACCTTTTCCAAGCCAGCCGAATCCTTTGAGCAAGGAAGGCAAAAACAGCTGTCAATAGCCCCTTCAAACGCGCCAAGCTCTGACCCAAACAAGCAACCAATCTCGACATGAATGTGGGAAGCCCTAGGCTTCCTAGTACGGCCTAGCGCCCATCACTAAGCATATAGCTCACACTGGATAGCAACCAATACACCACTCAGACATTCAACAGGTTATGGCCTGGATTGCTTGTTTTTTTTTAACCTTCTACTACTACTACCTACTTTTTCATTTATCTGAGATAAAAAATGTCTTGTAAGTTGTATCACTGAACTACAGATGAATTCTGATAAAAAGTTACTCTTTTAAAAGCTTTGATTGCAGGAAAAGAATTAACTTGAAAAGAAATTATAATATTTTTAAAAATATATACTATAGAGTTATTGAATATATCTGTAAGTAATATAATAAATAATAAAAACAAGAGTGAATATAAGTAAAAAATATTTACTTCTGAGTTTAGAAATGAATCAGATTAAATAAATAATATTATTATAATATAAATAATAATAAATTATATAAAAAAATAAAATAGATAAATAAAACTATTTATATAAAACTTAAAAAATAATTTAACTTTTTTATAAATTACTTAAAACTTCATTAGAATTATTAAATTTTAAAGCCCTGATGGCTGAATGGTTAATGCGGCCACTCAGTAGCGCCTTGGCGTGGGAAACTAAGACACATGGGTTCGAAACCCGCAGGGGATACATTAAATCCGGAACTCAAGCACCTCAGGTTTCTAATAAATACAGAGGTGTACAAATCGCGCCAATGAATTGCTCTATGTTCCTGGGCTGGGAAGTTATTATCACATGTATCTAATTGTCACTTCTTTGTATTTTCCTATGTTCTTGTTATCTTGGCATGGTCTCAACATCTGTATTTCCTCCTGTATAATCAACACTTGACCTGTATTTAACATCACGCAAGGACTCATTATAAGCTCCGCTTGCATATGAGTATAATGAAAGAATAATAATAATAATAATAATAATAGTTAAATATTAAAAAAATAAGTTTTTATATATTTAAATCTTTCAGTTTTTAAATATCTGTAAAAGATGTAAAACTTACTTAGTTAAAAAGATTACTAGTTTGTAAGAAGTTATATAATGAAAGAATTAGTAAGTCAGATCACGTGATCTGATAATATCACTATTAATACTAGTACTGCAGTTTACATTAATTGCAGTATATATTAACTATATATAATATATGTAAAATAGTAAATCTTGTCTTATTTCTTTATAATAAAGATGAGTGAGTGTCTCTATATATATATATAAGTATGTACTTATTTATTTATTATAGTTAACTTTATAAAAGAAAGAAGTAGAAGCTTTAAGAAGAAAGAAGTAAAAGTTCTGAGAAGTAGTAAATAAATATACTTTTAAATAGAGAAATAAAAATAAAGTGAAAGAAGAAAAAAGCAGAAGAATAAAAAAACAAAAGTTTTGAGAAATAGTAAAAGTAAATGTTATAGTCTCTCTGTTTAAAAAGAGACAGATGCATAAAAATGAGATAACAGAATGAAAAATAAAATCAAAAGAAAATAATAGAAATTACTAAATACTGTGAGTATTAAATTTAATAAGAAATGAAAGAGTAAGTAGACTGGCCGCTGAAATCATGAATTTCATATTTAGTTTCATTTGATCTGATCTCATACATTTCTTGATGTGAATTCTGCTGAGACTAGTCATTAAAAAAACATGCAAAGTAACTATATATCAGATCTTAAAATGAAACCATGACTTGAAAAAAATGAGAAAGTAATCTCATTTGATTTCATTTAGTTTCATTCTTGGCATAAAGTTACTATTTTTAGACATTTTAAGGTTTTTTTTAGACTATTTTTAATTTTTTAAAAAGTAATGCTTTTTGATAACACTCAAATGAGATTTAAAGT